TATCACATAAGAACACTGGCAAAGTGTGCCCACAAGTTGTTTTTGACTTATGGCAACCCCAAGGCACCTATTGTGGCACAATACTCTTTTCTGAAAAAGTCTTCCCTAGGGGAAGATTTACCATTGTTTTCCTCTGAGGCTGAAATAGTAGGGTTTCATGTCCAAATGGGGATTTGAACCCTGGTTTTCAGAGTCCTAGTGCAGCACCCTAACCACTACACCACACTGACTCCAAGAATGGTACTATTCAGGTTCAAATCCATTTTTGCTGATATCCAATACAAATGGAACTATTAGATTGGATATTTAAAGTAGGATTGATACTATCAGGGGCATACACATGTACATATGAAGAGAAATCATGTGGTCTATCCATCTCTAACTGTTAGCACATTAGAATTCAGAAGAGTATTCTTATAAATGGATGTCCTCCATGTCAAAAAACGCTCACAGAAAACTAAGGTATCAGACAGAATTTTAATCTAGCAGGTTTCTGATGCAGAGTTTTCTATATATGGAGACTTTGCTGCAGTGCTGGGTGCTGGATAGGATTTTTTTGCATCTGCCTTCCTAAATATCAGCCTCATGGGATCTGTACAATATGCTTTTTCTAAAGTTCTATTTTAGCTCTTATATTAGCTCTTTGATTGCAAACTATTTTGAACTTGTTCATTGGTAATTATAAGTCTACTACAGTGATCTTAAGGCCTTTGCAGACTGCAAGAAATAGTGCAAATTGAGTCCACTTTAACTGCCCTGACTCAGTGCTAGGGAATCATGGGAACTGTAGTTTATTGTGGCACCAGAGCTCTCTGACGGAGAAGGCTCAATGTCTCAGAAAAAAATACAATTCCCATGATTCCCTAGCACTGAGCTAGGGCAGTTAAACTGGACTCAATTTGCACTATTTCTTGCAGTCTGCAAAAACCCTTAGACCTTTCATGTATTAAATTGTGTCATAAACAAAATATTGATGCATTTTTTCATGTTGTGGTAATTTTTTATTAACATGTATTAAAATCACAAGGGCCTGTGGTGCAGTAGGTTATGTGGAAAAACCATATGTCCTCCAGATTTTTAAATATGTGTTTTAGAGATTTAAGATAGTGCATACTATAATGCACATACTTTTCTACTGTTTACATTACTGTTTACCACTGATATACTTGGTTCCTTGTTTCTTTCATAACAAAGTAGTCAGGGAGGGGGGACTGATGTTATCCTATATGTTTTTTTCTAGCACAGGCATGTACACTCTCTTGCTCTCTGCCTTTATATGACTTGTTCTTTTTGCCATTTTCTACAGGGCAGTTTGACAGAAGGTTGTTCTTGTTTTGTGGCCTACTTTTTTTTTTTAAGGAAAGGTGCCCTTGCTAATTTGATTGGTAGCATTTGACTCGTATATGATTGTTGAATGACATTTAGCCAGACAACAACAAAAACAGCCTTGTTTCCCAGGTTAGTGTTTTAATTGTTCCTCAATAGGATCAGGCTACAGATGTAAAGGCTGCAGTAGGATCAGGCTATAGATTACATACTAAGTACTTGAAAGATACCTTAATTGATTAGTTCCATAATAATGTCGAAATTCCTACATCAGGAGATATGGCTACAACAATGGAGCTCTTCGGATGCTAACCCTGAGGACCTAGTGGTATCACTGGGGGGGGGGGGGGGGTGCAGGGGATGCAGACCGCACCAGGTGACACCTCAAGCGGGGTGACACCACTACTTCTCAAACACCTACCTTTTGACAGAAATGGGCTATGACATTCATCTGCTTTCCTTTAAAATGTTTTCAGAGATAGTGGGAGTGGGGGGAAGCTCAGTGAGAGGAGAAAGGAGAGGCTCCCCAAAATTTTAAAATTAAAATTTCAAATTTCAAAATTTTATTTTTTAAAAACATTTTAACAAAATATTGACTATGTATATGTAAATGCATTTAGGTTATGTTTATGATATTGAAATTTGAAGATATAATTTTAATTTTGCTAGTTGTTTATGTCACAACTACTGGCATTACATTCAGTGGTATATGGGAATTATGATTCACAAGTAAGATTAGTGCAAAAAAGCATTACTAAGGATTCTGTATGGTGTGAAATGGGAGGAAGTTAATGGGGGTGACACCATGAGTTATCACACCGGGGGATACCAACTCTAGGGACACCACTGTCAGGACCTACTTTTTCAGCAGTGCAGCTCTCACAACAGAAAATTTCCAAGGCATTGGAGAGTGGGGCAGTGCACTATGACACCTTCAGCCCTCTCCCAGCAGCAAAGTATTTTGCGACAAGCAGTTGTGAGAAGACCTCACGGGTCTGTGCTGCTGCCTATTGCAAAACATCTTGTTCCCAGGAAATGGCTAGTGGTGCCATTGCACATTACGTTGCTCTGCAGATACTCAAAGGTGTTAGTGAAGTCAGGCTGCTTTAAATACAGGTTTGGGAGATACTTTTGGTTATGACAATAGTGCAATAACATTAATTCCATGATTTACACTAACATAAGCCTGACTTACGACAACATAAATAAATAATGAACAGGATGCTAGCCAATGTGTTAAGAATTGTCTATATCTTGTAGATTTCATTGATCAGAATGACATCTGTCTTGCCTTATATTCCAAATTGATATGTCAGGAACATATTTTTTTTGTCATTGCCAAAGGCTCTGTACAAACCCATTGGCATCCAAGTGGATATGGATAAGTGCAAGAGGAATTTTTCCTTTCCTTCCTCTTCCCTGCACCTCTCTACTATGTTTCAGAAGGGCCCACAATACTCTAAAGCAGATTTGGGGGCTGAAGATTTGTGTGTGTGTGTGTGTGTGGACCATTTATTTACTTACTAGGATTTCCATGTTCTTGTTTCTCACTGCCACTGAAGATTGCTTATGAATGCTTGATAATCATTCATGTTAACAAAATAAGACTTAAATTTAGATTTTAAATATTACTCAGAAATTGTATGCTGCATATTGAGATATATATATATATATATATATATATATATATATATATATATATATGACTGTAAAACAAAGAAATTTAAAAACAGAAGTTATTAGCAAGTCACCAACAGCCTTTAAGTCCAAAAATTTCCATGAGAATCTTTCCTAACTGTTGACATGAAATACCAGTTTCAAGTCAATGTTTCTGTCCCATTTATACAGTATACTCTTTTCTGATGATATTTAGAATGGAAACATAAGTAACTCTTTTTTAAAGCATGGATCTTGTAACTGATTCCTGCTGCATTCTTACTGCTTCTCCTAGCTAACTTTTCCATTATGCTGTTACTATATATTCAGTTGAATAAACAGAAGTCAGCATTTTCTATTAATAAACATATCTATTTTTAACACTTTTTCACTTGTCTTACATGATTTATTGTCCACTGTGGATGTTCTTATTTGTCATTATTGCCAAAATAAATGTTTCCCTCCTTTGTTGGCATTTCAGTGGAATGTTTAGAAATTACAAAAATGAAATTCTAGTAACAGCTGTAGAGATCTACACGTTAGTACTGAATTTTTTAGTTTTTATCTAACATTTTATACCACAGACGGCTTTATAGTTAAGACAACAATCTTATACACACTTCATCAACAATATTTCACATCAAAATCACTGTGATTTTTGAGTAAGCATTGGTAGAGTTTCATGCTATGGTAACAAAGAGTCTTGTGGCACTTTAAAGACTAAGTTATATTCGGCTTAAACTTTTGTGGTTTCTTGCCCACTTCAGCAAAGAGTGGCCATGCTGTCTGGCAGGGTCTGAGAGCTATAGTCCATAAATGTTAACTTTCTCCAGATCTGATGGCATGTTATATTATTACAATAGCTCAACTCAGATATAATGGGAAACCACTGTTCCTGCTAGGAGAAAAGAGCCACTAGCTTGCTTGAATAGCTTGTTCTCCCCCTTCTCTTGTTGCACACCTGGGAGGAACTTGAAAGCTTCCGCTTTTAAAATAACCACAGTTGCCCATAATGTCCGAGCTCGGTTAGTAAAACAAAACCTTTTTGTGGGTATGAAAGGGGAGAAGAGGTGCTGCACAGATGAACAGAGGGGTTCTTGTACCCTGAGTAGCATACATGCTCTCTTTATCCATACAGCTTTCCCCACTCATTCAGTGAAAGGGAAATATAACATTTTAATAAATCTGCATGAATTCCCATACTTTTTAAAAATGCAGCAAATAATTTTTAGGATGCTAGACTATGTTATTGAAGGCTGCATATGAGCACAGGATGCTTCCACCTCCTCTCTTTTGTGGTCTTTCTAGTCCTTCATAAATCTGCCATTTGGTTAAGGAGGAGGTCTGCATAAAACTGCTAGAAGAGGGAACTCTGGAATTCAGCCAGAGGCATGTCCACTCCTTAAGTTAGTATCATGAAGTTTTTTACTGTTGGAGCTCAAATTCCCACTCCATCCACCTCAAATTAAATTTCCTTTACTTGAATCCTGAATTCATTTTCTATACATAGGGTTGATAAACAAAGAAATAAACTTACAGAAGGATTATCCCACTAAACTTTGTACTGACATGCCTGCCCAAACATTTTTGGCACACCACCAGCTGAAAAATAAAAAGAATTGACTTTTCCAATTTACAAAAACATCTGTGTGTGGTCGCCTGGAGGCGAATCTTACTTGCCACAGGCAAGTGTCTGTTTACAAGCTTGGGGGTGATCAAGGCAAAGATCTCCATGAGTATGAAAATTTGAAAAGCCCCCCCCCCTTTGTGTAAATCCCATCCTTTCTAATTATATGTAATATATTGCTGAAAGTTTTCTCAGAAGAATGCACATGCTACATGAGATCTGTTACAAGAGTGTGAAAGGCAGAATACGTTTAAATGGTTCATTGTCATTTTAGGCAATCTAAATTAGATGTGAAGTGTAAATGCTGCAATCAAAAAGAATAAAAGCTGTGAAGTGAAGCACTGACAAATATAAAGCATATTTCCAGGAACACAAGGAAAAGGGATCTATAAAAGCTACTTGGGGTGTGGTGAGGGGTTACGTGAAAGCATTAAAATAATAGAGGACTGGTTTTGTAGAAAAGCACAATACTGTTCAGATATCACCAGAGGCACTATACAGATAATTTCAGAAGCATTCCCCCATTACTGTTAAAATGCAAGTGGCTCTGATCTGGAAGCTTGGTAACTACATAAATACAATGACAGTGAGAATGTTACTAAAGGGAGGAAAGGATTATTC